GAATGTAACTATAATCAGTAAAAACCTATGATCAGTAATTAACTTTGACCAGTAAGTAACTTTAAGCAGTTATTAACTATGACCAGTAATTAACTATGAGCAGTAAGTAACTCTGAACAGTAAGTATCTATAATGAGTAAGTATGCATTATGATCAGTTTGAACTCTAATAAACAATGACTTGCAACTTTTGTAACACAACACATTTCTAAGACTTGGTTGGCAGAAGTCACTTCGTTCCGGGGATGTTAGAACCACTTGAGAATCATATGCACAGATCTGCGAGAATTGTTTTGGAACAAATTTTTAGCTATTTCAAAGAAACTATGGAGTTATTCTTCTATATAATTTTACTGGTATATAAGTCGGAGGATGGCGAATCGGTAGACTATATATACATATATATAGCTGCCATAGGAACAATCGGACGATTTATAAAACTATGTTCAGTAATTACCTACGACCCGTATTTAACTATGAGCAGTAAGTAACTCTGAAGAGTAAGTATCTATAACCAGTAACTAGCTATATTCAGTAAGTAACTAAGAGTAGTAAGTAACTATGATCAGTATGTATTTATGACTAGTAAGTATGTATGATCAGTAAGTATCTATGAGCACTAAGTATGCATGATGATCAATTACTAACTTTGAACACTAATAAACAATGACTTGCAACTTTTGTAACACAACACATTTCTAAGACTTGGCCGGCAGAAGTCACTTCGTTCCGGGGATGGTAGAACTAGTTGGGAATCACAAGTACAGATGTGCGAGATTTGTTTTGGAACAAATTTAAGCTATATAAATGAAACTATGGAGTTATTCTTCTATATAATTTTACTAGTAAATAAGTCGGAGTATGGCGAATTCGTGGACTATATATATACATATCTGCGATAGGAACGATCGGAATATTTAAAAAAAATTATAACTTTTCCAGTTTTCAACAGATTTTCACCAAAAACGGTACATAGCCATTAAATATTAATCTAGAATTTTGTGTTAAATTTTATAAAAATCGGAATACTATATTATATAGATGCCATACAACCGTTAAAAATAGAGGAATAATGCAAAACTGTGAATGTCAAACTGTAACTATAATACGTATTTGTGAATGAAATTAAAGCAGGCAGTACTGTGTTAATTAATTAAATTAACCCTCAGTATTATTTTACAGCTCCTATTATTTTAACCCCATCTGTGCATACTTAAAAGTCTCTAAAAAGGTTATCTCCGAGGAGAGTTCGCTGCTCGTTAGGCGATTTGCTCGTGACTTTTAATGCGTTTGCTTTTAATGCATGGAATATTTATGTAGCACGCTGCATGTTTTATGCAGCACAATGCAAACAAACACAAAAAAACAGGCAATTTGTGTTGTTCAAGTGCATAGAACCATATATGGCATACAGCATATACCCCTAACCCCCCACACAGCACCCCTTGTATCTGTATCCTATAGATACATATGTATCTAGCTACCCCATCATCATTCGAGCGCAATCTCCACATTGCAACGCGTGAGCTGCCTGACATTCTAAGTGCCAGTTGTTGGTGCTTTCGGTTTGGGATTGAGGGGTTATCTACCCCCTCCTTAGTGCCATTTGACCTTGGCATTGGATTTAATTCTATGGTGAAATCTCAACTGCAGCATAATGCCGAATGTCAAGCTAAAGCAGAGGCTACAAGGGGAGGAATATCTGTTGGATATATATACATATGTATGTATATATATATGAATATATATCTAGAATGTCGCACATCAATTCTGGTTTAGCTAAGGGATTTGTGCAGCGAAAAGACATTTAAAATATTTTAGGTTTAAATCTTTTCATTTGAAAGCAAATAGCATGTAAAATATTGCAAGTATAGTAGCTAGTTTAAGAAATAACTAACCATAAAAGATATGATTATATTGTGCCTAGTTAAAAGTGACTATTTTTAAACTGAAAGTTATTTAAGATAAAGGTTCTCAGGGTGGAGAGAATGAGTAGTCATAGTCGACAATAATTGAACTTAAAATGTTCCTCATTAAAAACTCTCAGAGCTTGTTGTATTCAATTTGTGCTAGTCACGATTACTATAACGAATGAGATTGTATTTAATATAGTCGATGTTGATTATATAATATTTTAATTAAAATATATTACTTTTTAAAATGATTTTTTATGTGTCTTATTAAAATCAAAATTATATATTTTAATAATGGTGTTATTTAAGTTGGTTCAATTATTGTTTAAAATACATATAATAAAAAACATATAATAAAAATACATATAATAATAATACTTTTTATTATTTATTTATTTTTATGAAAAAGATTAAATTGATGTTTATGCATTTGTATTTTTTATAGATTTATGACAATATTGTCACGAGTCAAATAATATAAACAATTTAATTTAAAAACCTAATTGTTTAGTTGGAATGCTGCAGTTATGATTGGATTCCAATTGGTTTCTAACCTCCCCTGCTGGCCGATTGGAAACCTTGACCTCAGTGGAAGTCTTATTGGCTCGTTGGTCACACTGCGGCAGCATAAAGTTTGCGCCAATGCACGTGTTGCAATTGCGAAATGAGTAAAAATAAATGAAACAAAAAAAATAATATAGCCGCACCTACGCCGCAAAAAAAAGATAGAAATGCAGCTACGAGATACAAAGATACAAAGGCGGGGAGTACCGAATATCCAAAGCACATGCCGAGAGAGAGACACCCAGAGAGAGAGAGAGAGAGAGAGGGGGAAAACAAATGCACTGGCGGCAACCTTGAGTGCAACAAAGGAATGCACACAATAAAAACACTCGACACTCTCTCGCATGCGATAAATGTCATGTATCTGTGTGAACTGAGAGAGAGAGAGCGGATGTGATGGGGCTCTCTCTCTCTCTGGGGAAGCATACAAGTGTGTGCGTATGGGAGAGTGACAGCGCGAAAACAACAACAAAAGTGTAAATTGAAATTCCAAAGATGTCGACAAAGTAAATACGAAATAAAAACCCAAAACGAGACAGCAGCAAAAGGCAGCCACAGACACACAGCAGCAACAACAATAACAATAACAATAACAATGGAAAGCTACAACAAAATGCGCACAACACAATTCGGCGAATAATCATAATAAAAAAAAAAATAAACAAGAAAGAAAGCTAACTTCGGCACGCCGAAGTTTATATACCCTTGCAGATAGAACTTCTGTGAATTGGAATACATACAATATTAATTATATATATTTGTGTTAAAAAACAATGAAGTAATACCTGCTTTCATTTCATTCACCTATACATATTATATTTGCAATTTTACAGTCACAGATTTGCATTTTTCCTCTACATCAAACGATCGTTTGTATGGCACCTATATGATATAGTCGTCCGATTTTCATGAAATTTGACACAAAATTTAAAGACTTATATAAAATGGCTATACCTAAAATTTGATGAAAATCAGCTGAAAACTGAAAAAGTTATAAATTTAATTGTATTAATTTCTCGATCGTTCCTATGGGAGCTATATGATATAGTAGTCCGATTTTCATAAAATTTTATACAAAATTGTAGAGTATATTAAATTCGCTATATCTCAAATTTCAGCCAATTCTATTGAAAACTGAAAAAGTTAAAATTTTTTTTGTAAAAATTTTCCGATCATTCCTATGGAAGCTATAGGATATAGTCGTCCGATCCGGCCCGTTCCGACATATATACGAGTGAGAGTATATAGAAGGCTAACTACAAAGTTTCATTCAGATAGCTTCAAAACTGAGAGACTAGTTTGCGTAGAAACGGACAGACGGACAGACGGACAGACGGACAGACGGACAGAAGGACAGACGGACAGACGGACAGACGGACATGGCTAGATCGACTCGGCTGTTGATCCTGATCAAGAATATATATACTTTATATAGTCGGAGGTGCCTCCTTCACTGCGTTGCAAACTTCTGACTGAAATTATAATACCCTGCAAGGGTATAAAAATAACAACGAAGCAGAGGAATATACATAACAACAAAAGTTCAATATATTTTTTAAACAAGTTTCCAGAGCGTACAGCTTTTGGCATTGCTGTTATTGTTGCTGCTGCTGCCTGCTGCTGCTCTTTTCTATATATTTCTGCGACTGAGGCAAAGTCTGCTTTTTGCCATCAGCTTTTTTTTTAATTTTATTTTTTTGTTGCCTTTAGCGAGAAATATATCGAAATATGGCGGCATCGGCGATCGAAAAGCTAAGGGGAAGTACCAGTGGGAAGGGGAGGGGGAGCGGGAGAATTATTGCGTTCTATGCAGTACCAGTTCGTACCGCCCGCGCTCACATCTCGTCCTAAAACCCCATATCTCTTCTCTCCTAATTCCATCATCAAAAAATGTTATACGAAAGCCGGGCCTTAGGATGATGCGAAGCTTGAAATACCCTTTAAAACTGCGTAGTTTCACTATAGAAACTAGATATATATTCAATATAAATATATTTTTATATAAAATCCTTCAATAACTAAATAATTTCATTGTTATAATATATGAGTCAAATGAATTTATTTAAATAAACAGAAATGACTTCAACTTCACTCTAATGCATTTACTAGTCTTTCTAGTTTTACATAGAAAACTGGTTGAATGAGTTTATGGGAAAACCAACCCCCAATGAGAGGCTAATAAGACAGCTACAGGTTAAAATTCGTTTAAATAATACTTATAATAAAAATACATTATACCAATAAGTACTTTTTAAAAATAATAATAAAGTACTTGTAGTTTTTCAATAAAGAATAAAGAGCCTTCTTCTAAAAGCAAAAACAACCTTAAATCTAAAGATTTAACAATTCCCAACTTTTGCTTATAGTGTCATACCTTTTCATTTTAATAAACATGTAGTAAGGAAAATAGTAAACACTTCCCATTGACAACTTTCAGTACCTAAGTTCGTTTCATTTAGGTACAAATGACCCCGAATACCCTGCCTTTTATAGGGTATACAAATAAGGGTATCTCTCTACTTACGATAAGATTGCGCACGGCGGCGGTTGTTGGTGTTGCCGCTGCTGCTATTTTAGCCGTTGTCGATATCGTTGCGGTTAGATCGGCGGGCAGAAAGTCCAATTGCTCCTCCTCCACCTCCTCTTCGTCCAGTTCCTCATCTTCTTCAGCCCCATCCTGGTTTTCCGGCTTCAGCTTGGGATCATCTTCCGCCGCCTTTGCTAGGGCACCGCCGCCGCCTCTTCGGGTTGTGCGTTCGACTTTGACTTTCATGGTTATTTGTTTTATAAACAATTACAAACACACAAACTGCCTTTGGCTTATAGGTTTTTCCAGTGTTTGAAAGCGGGTAGAACTATCTAGAATCCAGATTAGTGGGACCGGACCACGCCCCGAAAAGCACGCACCGCCTTTTGGTTTTTTTCTTGACAGACACTTGAACTTCGCACGGCTTTGTTTTACTATTGCAATATCTCGTAATTATGTTATTTTCAATTTTCAATTTTGAATTTTTCCTTCTTTTATTTCTTCTCACTCACACACACACACGACGTACAAACGTAGATAACGCGAAATTGCACATGGACAGAAGGCGTGTAACTGTTATTTTTCTTCGGCGTAGTGTGTGCGCCTTTCTTTTCCTTTTTGTTGTTGCCTTTTGTTTCTCTTTTTCTTTTTGGGAATGTTCTCGTTTGCACTTGTGAAAGTGTTAAAAATTAACTGTAACAACAATACCAACAACAACAACAAACGAATGCAGGGAGGCGAAAAAACGTAACGTTTTTGTTGTTTTTTTTTTTTTTTTTGATCGCCCTTCTCGCTCTGGCCAAACGTGGCTCTCCAGTGCGTGCGAACGGGAGGGGGCGTTGGGCTGGGCGGACCGATTAACGAGCGAGAGGAGAGGGTGTGAGTGACAGAGAGAACGTTTGCGGGCTAGAGACGCGAGTGAGAGAGAGAGGGAGACACAAAAGCCGCGTGGCTTTCCGCTGCCGTTGCTGCAGTCGCGTTGCCGTAACAAAAAGCGAAAAATAACTGAATAACTGAGCAGCGACGGCCGCAGACCGCTTCGCTTTGCTATCCGCCGTCGGGTGACGTCTTGGCCATTGCCTCACACACTCACACACACGGCGCACACTAGCGCGGCAGCATACGGCAGCGGCTCACACAGATACTCGCACACAGTCGCAGAGCCTGGAAATACAAGTTGCGTAGATGCCAGGGATGCACAGAGTTCCAAAAGAGCGGAACCAGTTGCTTGAGCTAGGATTGCGAGAACTAGTTCATTTAGGGGTTTTATTATTTATTTAATCTTTGACTGAAAAATCTAGCTTTTAATCAAATAAAACCTATATTTATACTTATATATGTACATAAGAAAGAAATAAACGAAATATCTCTTTAAAATATGATACATATTTGAGTAAATTTTTAGCTTATTTGCATTTTTGCATATTTACCAAAATCCCGTAACTGAATATAATTTTTTCATGAGCATTGAATCATTAATTATTCGCATTTAATTAACACAATTTTACGTTTAAATTATTCCCCGCTTCCGTTGCAAAATTATATTTGTTTATATTAACTTTTGACAAAAATAAATGCCCAAAATAATCCTTGAATAAATTAAGAAAACCACAAAAACCGCATGGAAAATCCCGGGTGAACAGCATTTCCTTGCTCCGTTCCCATATACCCCGTTTGCTCGCGGCCCTGACGAATATCGAAACAAAGAAAAAGTGCACAATAAATGTCAGTCCAAAGGAGAGAGCAAGCAAGAGTGTCGCTCTCACACATACAGGGACAAAATCAAATGTTGCATGCGAGAAAAAGTCCAATGAGATTTACTCAGACCGAGTGAGAGACCAACCAACACTCGACTCAAAAGCTGTTGCGCTCAATTCAAGAATTTGGCGCGCAGCTCGTTTGTTGACATTTTTCCACTTTGTTTTGGTTCGCTCTCTCTCTTTCTCTCTCTCTATCTCTCTTCTCTTCTCTGCCCACTGAAAAGACCAGTTGCCCGGGCACATGTTGGATTTGTTGTTGTTGTTTCGGATTTATGTATGCCACGCATCGCATCGCCACTTTGCGTTTTCGGATGACTCATCGGGGTTTTTACACACGGATACGTGTTGGATACCAACACACACAGATACACGCGTCGAAACTAATGTGGGCCTCCCGCAATTTCAGATTCAGATACATTTTCAGATTCCCATACACAGAGAGTTGAGATTGAAGGCTTTAAGGCTTCAAGGCTCTGGGACTCGCAGACAGGTAAGTCGCACTTAAAAGTTAAGTTTCTTAAATAATTAAATTAAGTAGAATTTTAATAGAGAAAGTATCATAATTTGTAGATAAAGAATTAAAGTATTTGATGGTTTAAATTTTTTTAAAATATTATATTTTGAACTAATGAAGAAAGCCATTAAAAAAAATGAATCAAGAAATTCCATAAACTTAACTTAAGAATATGAAAAAGTCACTTTAAAGCTAAGCTTAATAAATAAATTTATTCATTTCACAATGAAAAGAATCATTATTATACTGTTTAATGGTTTTATTATTTGTTAATATAGCATTATAAGGTTTAAAATTTAAACTGACTCATTTTTTAAGAGAAAATATAATATAATATATATTATAAAGAATTAATTAGTGCTTACTATGCATTTTCCCTTTTTTTTTAAGTCAGAAATTGGTTTATTTTAAAATACTTTCGCTTAATTTTTAACATTATTTTTTCTATTGAAAAAAAGAATAGATAATAATAAATATCAGAAATAATTCAGATAGATCTCAGGGATCTTAAGAATTTATTACTCTACATTTTCTCACAATTTCCGCTTTCGCCTATTTCCCTTACGCCAACTTTAATGAGTATTTCTAGCAGTGCAACAATTTGAGGACCGAGGTCAGTTAATGAGTGCTAGCAAGAGGAGTATCTGTATCTGCAAGATGCATTTGGGCGCGTGCTAAATGCGTCTATTAGCCGCAACAGCAACGTACCCCCGTAAGATATACATATACGCATTAATTCCAATCCCATTCGGATGTGCATTTCGCATCTTTCGAGACCCATTAGGTCCAGGTAGCCAGGTAGATTTGGGACTCGCCACCGCCATTAGCTGGGACTTGGGAATGACTCCGGATTGAGACAGGGACAGGGACAGGGACAGAGACAGAGACAGAGTCACCTCTCTCGCAGCACGAGTCCGATAAGCAATGTCTGAGTGCCTTGCCTGGCGTCGAACCTGCGGCACTTGTCGAGTTTTCAGGACGAGGACTGACCACTGACCACCGACCAGACGAAAGATGGGAGTGTCACCAAGGCCGAGGGTTGAATGCCACCAATGTTTGCTGCTGCTAATTTTGCAGCAATTTGCCAGGCGACTGCACGGGTGCATCAACCACTCTGATTAGGTTACCATTCTAGCTCATATATTTTATGGAGTTACCTTGGGTTAATTCTCGAGAATTATGAGCGGAAGGGAAAACCGGAAACGGAAGGACTGCTTGCGTAAGTGATTTCATTGGTTTAAAAAACAGATAACAAATATGGTTCAGGCAAGGAAAGAATTAAGCTAGCTTGAATATTACAATAAAATTATAAACCATGTATCAACTACTTCATAAAATACTTTATATATTGAATACTTTTATGAAAAGTAACCAACATTTATCACTCACACATTTTCCAGTTCAAATTTACAAAGCTTTGTTTTGTCATTTTCAAATATCTCCAAAGTCTCAATTACATTATAATTATATCTACTTATCACTTCAAGTGCCTGGAGCTGACGCTTAATTTATTTAAGTCCAAACAACTTGTATTCGTACTTAATTATTTACATTGCGATACGATCGTCTGAATAATGTTTGTAATAATGTTTGCATTGATTTAAGTTTCGAGATCACGTCATGAAGCAGGGGTGAAACGACGTCATCGTCGTCGGCAAAGTCATCGAGTTCCCGGAATATTGTTTATAATTCCCGGTATCAAATGAGTGTTTTTTTATTTAACATAAAATTTACCCTGAGGAAATTTAATTCAAGCTCTGCCTTATGAATGAATGGAAGGGAATCACTAGACCTGGTGGGCGTTTATACGTAATATATCTATAGTATAGGTATTAATCATATCGCAAACCATTTCCGTTTTGCTAATTATTTCAACATCTTAAGCACGTGTGTTACCTGCTGTTTATTTTCTTAGTGCTTGGGCAGGTGTAAATGTGGTTTTTCTGTTTTTCATGGACAAGTGGTGCAAGCTTCGCACTTTCATTGATAGGAAAACAAGTTCCAATAAAAAAACAATCGAAATCAAAAGAGACGACCTTCAGACGAAAAAAAAACAGCTGATTACTAATGCTAATGGGAGCACTTAAAAAAAGAAACAACAAAACAAAAATAAAGGCGAAAGGGGCGTGTTAACTATTGCAACCAAGTAAATGATTAAGAAAACTTAATGACTTTGTTGTAGAACCGTATTTTTCGAGCGACGCTCATTAAAAAAATTAAGCATACGGTATAATAACAGATATGGCAACAATAAAACCTAAACGACGGAAAATTAAAGTTGTTAATTGTTTTTGTAATAATTAATAACAAAAATAGCAACAACAACGATCAACTATAATGCTTCCAGAAACAGAAACAAGTTCAAGGATAAAAACAAAAGTCGAAAGTAACCTCAGAAACCAGCTTTTTTCTAAAGTTTCATAAAGATTTAAGATTATTACAAGTATTACAAATTAATCGATTTGAATTGTTCCAGGAAAACTTAATAAATTCAACTAAAATTTAGTATTCACATATTTTGTAAACTATTATGGCCTTTTCTAAGAAGTATTTACTGGCGGAAAATCATATGATTGTCAGGATTTCATTTGAAATCAATCTTATTTGCAAACAAGAAAGAAAACTGACTTCGGGAAGCCGAAGCTTATATACCCTTACAGATCGCAATTAAATTATAAAATCGAAAATTTATTACAACGCTTTCTCTTGGGTTCTCTTTTTGATTTGATTATTCCCCTCATAGATACAAGGCCTTGCTAACCTGGTCAATTCGAAAGCATTTGGCCTAGTCATACCATAAGTTAAATGCTCAACTCAGGAACACGAAGAACTCTGAAGATAAGTGACAAAAATCAACCTGAACAACGAAACTAACTACACATAAAGAAATGGAAGAATAAACAAAATAATACTACAAAGTATAATTTTAAACTTAAATTTTAAGAACTTAAAATATATAAATATTCCCTTAGAATTAACAAGAGAACATATTGGTTTTAAATAATAATAAATTTGTAAATGAAAGTAAAGTAAACCAATTTAAAATCTAGAAACAATACAATTTATATTGAGTACAAAGTAATATTGATATATTTTACAATTTAAATTGTATTATTTATGTATAATTAAGAAATATTTCATTTTCTTTTACCAGATTTGATCACATTGATCCCCTTTTTTTAATGCAAATATTTTCCCCTGTGCAAAACCATATCATTTTCCCTGTTAGAAACACTCATGAATGTGCTCCAGAGTGCTCAAAGCTCTTGGCATTTCCGTTTTACGGTTTCACTTTTCAGTTGTTTTGCCTTTCTGCGCGGCTGTTTACGGCTTTTAAGACTTCCTGGCCTGGTTCACGTTCGTGACTATTCTCCACTTGGGCTCTTATCTGCTCCGGTCCGGTGCGGTCCGGTCCGGAGGAACTGACACTTGTCCGCGTCGTGTGTTCGCCGTCAT